ATGGATCAGATAGTGGCTCTTATGACGTCATCACTGGCATGCAAACAATACATGAAGGTGTGTACCTGTGTGTGTTTGTGGAAAGGGGGTTATGTAGAACCTACTTATAAAATACGATCAATTAAATTGAGCTATCACTATAGCCTATTTCAGTAGACCAACAAACAACAAATTAAATGTAAATAGAAAAGGAAATGATTGGGTATTTCTTGAAAAATATAGAAAAATATTTAGGTGCTAATGCACTTTTGCACCACCACCTTCTAAAATACTTCCCAGTTACAAAATTACAATTTCTTGCGGAATTAGACACATGTACCAGTGCTTGTAATAATTTTCTCTTTTCTGTGCGACGGAATCTTCCTATCTGTTAACTCACCAATGACTAATGATTTATGATGTCAAAACATTCATCAAAAAATGATTTATGTTTCCTTTATGCAAGAAGTTATTATTATTATTATTATTATTATTATTATTATTATTATTATTATTATTTTTATTATTATTATTATTATTATTTGTTGTATATCTTGATTTCCAAAAGAAAAAAATAAAAGTTTTTTTAATTTTAATTTTAATGTTATTTATATCTCTTTCTTTCTGCTCACCTATACTCATCTTTCTTTACAAAGGCCTATCTGACAATATTATATATAATATTATGTTGTTTTTAGTACGAATGCTATCATTCCCGAATCAAAGGCTATGCATACTGGAGGTCACGTGACGGACAAGAGATGACAAACTGGGGTTCTCCTACAGGATTTGATGGATGTATGTGTGGTGAAAAAGGTAAATAAATAAAATAAATGAAATTTGAAGTATATCATGCCCAACGTCGGAAAACACCCAAATTAATGTAATCTATGCTTAAAGGGGACATGAGTTCCAGTCCTCTCTGTGTGTCCTTCTGTGAGCAAGGAGATAAAAGTAAAAATATCTGTTGCTCAATAACAAGTATACCTAAAATATGGTACAGCATTGGTTTGCAATATGAACTTTTGTTTTATTAACACAGACGTTTGTAACCAATCAGACGTTGTGTGTAACTGTAATATAAATGATAAAACTTGGAGATTGGACGAAGGATATGTTGATGACATGTCTACTCTGCCGGTTACAAAATTACAAATGGGTGATACAGACTTTGATTATGAAGAAGGCTACAGTACCATTGGATCACTTGAATGTACAGGTAACTGGCGTTATTATTTTGTGCTATACATACATGTTTGACTTATTTCCATCTTTTGCCGAAGCATTTGGCCCTTTTGTAAACCCGCCGTGCCAACCCTGAGCCGACGTGCCCAAAATTATCTAGTTTCTACGCATGTGCTAGAATTTGGCGTTGTTGTAAACGCGATCGAGTTTGTGTAAAATGAACGTCATCTGAGCGAGGGGTGTTTTCAATTTTGATGAACTTTCAGAGAGTTCTATAAAACACGACAGCATGCCACCCCCAGACACGCACCAATCAGAAACCAAAATGCAATTCGCTCTAGTTAAAGTTAAAGAACTAGTAGAAGAGTACAATCAACATAAAAGAGGGCCTGAAAACATATCCAGAAATACATCTAGAGCAATTAGTAGCCTGAAAAAGAGAATTAAATCAGATTATCATTTACCCCACCGACTAACCCGGCCGCCTATCTGTTGACACACCTAAAAACTATATAACATCCATGCAAGAACATCTCGATAAAATGCAAGAAGCCACCCTTAACGAATACGGTACATAGAGGCTGAAAAGAAAATGAATTGGTCCAAACGATTGCGAAACAACTTTCACACCAATAACAATGATGTTCCCCCGCTCTATGGCTTAAGGAAAGACCATAAGGTATCCCAGACCGGAAATGGTCCCCCTCTTCGCCAAGTGTGTGGTGCTATAACGTCATGCAATTACAGAGCTTCATATTTCTTGTCTAAATTCCTCAAACCTCTCATCAAAGACTGTGATATAATAATAATGTGAAAGCACCGAGGACTTACTTGCCCAGATGTAAATGTAATAAAGAAGAAGACCTTAGCAATTGTCTAAAATTCAGCATGGATGTCGTCACTTTGTACCAATCTATCGATGTAGATTTTGCCGTTGACAAATGTTGTGACTACTGCTCAAAAGTGATATTGATTTCATCAACATAAACCATGAAGAATTAGGCTTATTTATCAAGCTTTACGAAAATCAATATAAAATCAAACTTATCCCAGAAGAACTACAACAATTTTCCCCACTACACGGGACGGTGTAGACCCCCCCCCCCCACCACCACTACATGTTCAGGATCCACCCACAATGAAAAGATAAGACGGAATACCTGGAATAAACAAACCGCCATACCTAAAGCCGGTTACTCACTGCGTACGACGGCGACGCGACGAAGAACACACGCGATGACGCGGACCCAACGGATCGTCTTTTTAATGAGAATCCGTTCAGATTGCCACTGACAATCAGCAGACGGCGTTGCGTCGGAAGCAAATGTGGATTCGTCGTGCGACGGTCGTACGACGCAGTGAGTGTCCGGCTTAATAGAACACATCTCAAACAAATGATAATAGCCGCGCTTGTTGTTGAACGCGCATATATGGTTATTCAGTCATACAGCCTGGTTCACGTCGAACTTTATCTAGATATACCCGTCTTGAAACATGATACGATAATCCCCTAATTGCGTTCGATGCTAAGTTAGAGCCAGATAAACAGCCAGCCAGTTTCAGGCCGTCGACGTCACACGGTGGAAAGGCTTGTTTAATAAAACATCTACTGTATTTTACGAACCTCTAGTACCAAGTGGTATTCGTTCAAAAAAAATTGTAAACTACTGTAAAGAAGGTAGGCGTGAGCTTCCACTACCTAACCTAGCCGACCAGTACGAACCAACGACAGTGCAGCAGCGTGTTTTATCGCAATCTAAGTATTCTCTAGGCCCTAGCTAAATTGACCTTCGATAAAAAACGAATTATTTTAATCGCTAGCTAGCATTCTTCCATTTAACAAAATATTGTTTTAANNNTTTCGTCATCGTAAACATGTGCGCTCATTTTAACGACTGGCGTTGGTGGTAGTTCGTTGAAACTGAATTAATAGCGACTATTATAGCAGAAATGGAAAAGATTGAATTGTCAATAAATAAATACAACAAATCTGATTTTATTATTAAGAAAAATATACACATTATCACTTTGGAAAGCGTACGCAATCGGACTTTTTAACGTTATTACGTGGTCGATGATGCAAAGGGCAAAGGTTATTGGTATATTGCCTATTCGTAAAACAGACTTTTGCTGGGTTTTTACCCACAATATTAAAATAATTTCTGAAAATCAGACTAATGAGACTATTTCGATGTTGTTGTTAGCATTGTTGGAGTACGTTGTTGCCAGGAAGAAGATGATAATGGTGGTACAATACAACAGCGCTGGATGCCTTGTAATCCGAGCCGACTTTACCGTTAAGCAAGTTAATTTACCGTTATTCTAGTGAAGTTTAAGTCACTTAACTTAAGTGACTTAATTCCTTTATCTAGCTATAATTGAGTGGTTCACGTACGTCGAACTTTTAACTAGTTAAGTAAATCTATATCAAGATAAAAGTTCGACGTGAACCAGGCTAACAAGTTTTACAAGCAAACCGAAGGAGGCGGGTTAGCGGGCGAAGTAGCAACACTGTTCATGTCATGGTGGGACAAACAACTTAATAACGCCCTACATAGAGAAAGCATCTACTGTAAACTGTTCACCAGATATGTAGACGATATTACTATCGTCTTTGAAAACAGTCCCCACTCTCTATCAACCAAGTAGAGATAGTGAATAAACTACAAACCATAGCTAAATAATGTACACCTCCGTCTATAAAAGTTACTATAGGTCACCCGGCTCTTCACTCAGATAACAAGTTACATGTGTTAGATTTAACGCTTCACATTGACTACGTGACGGTGAGAAATACAAAAAACAACTAATTCACACATTATGAAGAGAATTGCCAACCAAAAAGTCAATAAGAAATCTGACTAAGCTCCAATTATTAGTTAATTACCTTGTAAGTATTAGGCCTATGCGTAATATATCCACACACAATACAGAAGATAAAATATTACATATGCAACACCATATAGATAGAATGCAATGGAGTGGCTACACTACACAAGAACGAAAACAGGTACACAACAGGGCGAAAAAAGAGATTTCAGACTATTCTGGAACGGGGGAAGTACCGATGTATAGACCGAAAGAATGGAAATGTAATGAAAGAGAAGCAGAGAAAGAGAAAAATAATGAAACCTGGGTTCAGAACGGAGGGTACGGAACAGCACTGTTCGTGGTTGCCACGCCGAACAGTTACCTAGCAAGTAATATCCAACAAATCGTGCATAAATCAGGTCTCAAAGTCAAGGTTATAGAACGGGCAGGAAGCAGCCTTAAACAAACCCTTGTTAAATCCAACCTCTTCCCCAGACAGAAATGTACGTATAATTGCCCTGTGTGCAAGCAAGGCAACAATGTTAACTGCAAACAGCGAGAAGTTGTCTATAAAATTAGGATGCGAAAAGTGCAATGACTCCAACGCAGGCGTATACATTGTGAAAACCTCCCGAAGTGTAAGAGAACATAACGGAACAAACCAAAACATAAATGTCACCCTATTAAGCAAATATCCCAGAGACCCTATGCTTTGACAAGTAAATGAAGCCGTTAGGATACGAGAATTCAAACCTGGGTTGAATAAGAAAGAGGAATGGGGAAATTCACCCAGGAAAAGTACCCAGGAAACGAACCAAAACTACTATTTAACTCCTCTCATTTATTTATGTTCCTCTATTTTTGTCCATCTCCTTCCTGTGTGGTGTGTTTTCCGTTTATTTTGCTCTCCCTGTACATGGTTTATATATAGGGCTTACATTCAGCATGCATGAGCATCTCTCGAAAGTTTCATGCGTAAATTACCATGCATTATGACTCCCAACCACAGATGGCGCCACACCCACAGTGACCACACCTAGCATAATTATGCTTTTTGGCATAATTTAGACCCATTTAGCATCTAGCATATGTGCTGACATAATTTTAGAAAAATTTAGCATAATTTTGACCTCAGAAAAAAAAAAAATTTTTTAATCTGAATTAAACCAGTCGTTAATAACCGTGGATACAACATAATAAAAATGAATTCGTCCATTGGTTGAGTATCCAATAAGTCCTATGCTATGCGCACACTGCAGCTGCCTTTCTGTGGTTTTATTTTATTTTTTTTTTTGTACCACACATTGAAAATGGTTTTGGCCAGGTACTCAATCCTGTCCGGTCCTGTCCTTGCTGGAGGCAAAATTCACGTTCGTTGGGTCCGTCCGGTAGGCATGCGTCCGGGAGTAGTGTACTACCGACTACTGAGTTTTAAACTAAGTTAATGATACTCGGGCTGACGTACTCTACAATCTTATGATTTTCAAAATATATCAAATGACGCCAACGAAATTATATTTTTTTTTAATTACTTTATATTTTGTGTAATCTTTTCAATAATACAAACACATACATCAGTAATAATTAGAAAAAGAGTACAAACTTTTTTTTATTATCTTGATTGAACGTTTTCAACTTTATTTAATAATTTGTTTTAAACAATATAATAAAAATGAAACAATGTGTAATAAATTAAGTTACAGACGATCATCAAAGTATTATTTTGATTACAATATATTGCGCTTATTTTGTGAAATCACGATACAAAATTAAGAACTCAATTGTGCCAAAAAAAGTTATTAAAATACATCACAAAGGTCTCCAGACCGTCACCCCGGGGCCTTTCCCGGCGCGCCCCTTGGCCTCTTCGCCTGGCTCAGGGCCTTTGGCCCCTTCGTTATGCCATTGTAGTTCCACATTTACAGTTTTCGCACCCCTCCCCCAGATGGTAACCAATCTACGCCCCTAGTACGACTTTTAATCACTTTTTCTTCGGGTCGTCTGATAGGTTTGAAAATACCGATAATGACCGTACGGTTATGTAACAAAATTGATTAATTGTTTTAATAAAACCTGTGTTGTAGGACTTTATCATCCGAATTATTAGACCTATATTGTTTTAATCGATTTGATCATGTGATGAATAACGTCTTTACATTAATAGGCTACTATGATGGGTAATTATGTATTTATTTCTTTATTTATTGTCATGTTTTAAGGCTGAGATTTTAGGGTGGGTGAGGATGCAGCCCGCCGGCCCATATATTTTTCAGAAGAAATGTATCCTATTGTCAAAAGCGGACTTCAATTGGACTTGGAACTGGGCGTTCCCCAAAACACACACAGGCGTTACACTACTGGTCAAAGCTGCATAGTAAAATGCTGGGTCGTAGTAGGAGGGGCCCCTTCTAATAAATCTGCCAAAGAATGTGTTGGTGGGATTTTGGTCTATTTATTTTTTCGAAAAATTATTGTAGAGTAATAGTAATTAGTAAGTCTCTCCGGGGCCCCATTTCGACTGGGACTGGGCCTGGGCCCCAGAAAGTACATGAGCTACACCACTGTTAAGGCTCAGCATTAAAGTACTAGGTAGTATTAGGAGGGTCTCAGGGCCCCTCCGAAGCCCTTTTTGAGAGGGGGTCCGAGGCTGCGACCCAGACTCACGGGAACTACGCCACTGTTATATACTTTTATTACTTCAGTAAAAAAATAGTAACTGCTAACTGTACCATTAGTCTAGTAGGCCCAGACAGTATATCTACAATAAATGCAATCAGGTTGTGACTTTGTAATGTTATGTATGGAGGTTATTCCACATGCAACCTTTTGTGACACAAAATATTCATCGGTGCTTTGGTTTTCCTAGGTGCTGCAAGAGATTGGAACATTGTGATGATGGTCCATAACGACTTCTGTCTCACTGGCTACGTCTTGTCAACGTTCAAAACTGTGTCGAGCGTACAGTGTGCCAATTTTTGTCGAAGACATACCTTGTGCAAGTCATTCAACTTCAAGAGAAGTAACGATGCTGGCGCAACACCAATGATATGCGAATTGAATTATAAATTACTAAGAGAGGTTCCTGAAAACATATCTAACACCATAAGCGGTTGCATATATTTTGAACCAAAATAGGCCCATATTAATATTGATACCAATATCAATAAGACCATGTAATGCTTTTAATTGTAAGACAAATGCTGTTAATTGATTCTATAGTAAATTTTGAAATAATTATATTAGATCTATCAAAATGGTTGTTTTTATGCGTAGATGTAGCACCATAATTTGGCGTAGAAAAATTGTTCACTTTCATAGGAGCTTGAGATTTGTAGCCTTTATTCTGAAAGTTGCCACAGCCAGACACAATTCAAGTGTAATTAATTGAAAGTATTTGTTGAAAAAACATCCTTATCAGTTATGATACATTTACAATCAAATCATTTTTAAAATGTCGTACATGCCAGTTGCCATGAAACAAACATAGACATGGTACTCTCGCACAGAAATATACCATTTTATCGTCGTTGATAAGAACTCTTCGTTAAAATGCATTTAATTAATTTTATACGTAGTTTTTGTTTTAATGTACCGGTAAGTTGTGGAAACTTCAAAAATACAAACGAAAAAAAAAGTATTAGATGTTTGAAAACTGTCAAACTCGACGCAAAATTCCCGGAATGCCGTCTGTCGAAAATGTGCGTAGCAATCAAAAAACATATTTTAATGTAAGTTGTTCTTACTCAATTCAGGATTTGAAAAGTGTTCACATGCTTTTCAAGTGTATTTCGATGAGCTCGGTTATCACACTATATGTTCTGTCATAGAAATTATAAATTACTGAGAGAGGTTCCTGAAAACATATCTAACACCATAAGCGGTGGTGCTACATTTAAAGTGTGACAATACGACACTGGCACTGTCAATAAAATTTTGAGCAACAACACACGTTTTGATTGGATTTATTATGCTACTGTAGTAGATTATAGTGTGGAAGCTTGCTGACTGGACACTGCTTCAGTATGCACATAGGGAGATAGGTGAAGAATTAAAAATATCTATTTCTATCATAAATTGTCAGTCGAATATTTACTTGTAAAAGCCAGCTTCGACTGTATTCTTGTAAACTTTTCCAATTTATTACCTCACAAATATTATTTAACGGTTTTTCATTTACAAAAAAAATAATACCATCCTCACAAAAATATCGAATATACAAACATAAATAATTATATGACATCCAAAATTGAAATGCAGAAATCATTTTTAAAAGTTGGCCTACCGATTACAAAAGAATTACAACACTAATTTACACAAAAAAAAAGACATCATTACAGCTACAAAGTACATAAATAAGTAAACGTTGCTGATTTATTACCTCCCAAATGTTATTTAACGTACAGAAAGAAACACATTAAAACAAATAAATTCTAAACATATCAACACAAACAAGGTTAAAAATGTCTCCTGATTGCAGTACCCAATTATACCAAACTGTCATCATTATACAATAATTAGAATTATTGCACAAAATTGTTTACACCGTAAATCCAATAATTGTAATTAGTTTACTCATATGTGATTGGGCTTCATCTTCTTACGTTAAGGGGGTGCTGCCTTCATCTTGTCGAAGGTTCTGCAACTGTTTGGTGGTTTGGGCAGTACCAGGAGACAATCCACTACCCCTTTCTGAAGAGTGTACTGCGTCCTTTAAAGATGTATTGTCCCTTGCTAATCATTAAAAATTTGAATTTGGATATCTGCACAACGATAGCTTTAAACAAAAAGCAAATGAAATAAAAAAAAAATAGGTGTATGTCTTTTAAAAGAAATTTTAATATACAGGGTACCTGCAATATGCAACTATGACATATGTCATTTTAGTAATAATTCATCTACTCACAGCTGTGGTTTTAGTGCCTCTTCCACGAACATTTCAAACATAATCTTTGACAACATGCAAAGGCTCATAAATGTACACCATTTCAAAAGAGAAATTTCACTTCTAGAAAACATGATGAAGTTCCTCAGCAACATTGAGCATAAAAATCATAATATCAGGAAAAAAGGAAAACTAATATCCAAAATCCGTTAAAAAAGTCGTCAAACAACAAAATCCGCTACTGTTCATTAACATTGAGTAAATTACAAGTGTTCTATTTCTCACCAAGTGGATTTATGAATAGCACTCTCCTAGGGGGTTTTTGGTAGGAAAAGAAGACTTAAACACTGTGGGTGTAATTTTTTCTTTGCAAAAAATAGGGGGGGGGGGCGTTCGCCCCTTACACGCCACCCCTTCTAAATCCGCCACTGGAAATAAGCCTAGGCCCTAGGTTTAGGTAGGCCCGGTTTTGTTTCATGTCAATTAGAGACTACAATTTCATACAGTATCTTGTAAATTACACAATATGATTAAACCAGGTACAGTACTTGAAAACAATAAAGAAGCAAAACTTACACGTCGTAAGTGTCAAATGTTGTCTACACAAAAACTGTACTTTATTAAAAGAGTAAGTCTACTGAAGGGGTGTCGTCAATGAAGATGTGCACACATATCAGTGTACTGTGGTCACTGTGCATGGGATTGTCTGACAGCACATACCTGCTGACCTCGATAGAGAGTGATTGATTGCACAAAGGATTCCATGCTGGTGCATCTGCGCTTAAATTGTCTTTACTATGCATTGCGCGATGTGACATACTTTCTATGGAATTGTGTATCCATCCATTGTGATATAAGGGGGGGGGGGTGCGGTAAACAATTGAAATAAACGCAGACCAACAATTTTCGCATCTGGCGGTTTAGTTTCTTTCACTTAGAAATAAAGTTTAGGCATATTACTAAACAGACCAGAAGCCACGGGTCCCAGTGTTTTGCCTGGCTGCACTGCATATCCCTACGCAACTGACTCAGGGATAAAGTAACCAAGAAGATGGGAAGAACCAGTTGGCAAAATAAGGTGAATAAATACTTATATACTGAAATTATAAGCATTTAAAATAACAAAACGGTATGGACGCTGGATTGAAGGTCAGAAGAAAGGGATATAATGAAAACGGGTTTGGCAAAGTGGTTAAGAGTAGACTATAGCTTGATTAAGATCTGTATGAAA